ATGTACCATAAGCATTGGAATTAGGATAATTTGAAATGACGAGTGTATAAAAGGTAAATTTGGGTAAGGTAACATAAATCTAAGGATTTACCGCAGATCATTCTAGAATCGATGTCCATTTTTGGTAAAATCCCTGACTGTTCTGTAATAATCCAATTAATGCAAGCTATGCGAAATCCATTACAAGAATTGAAATCAAAATTGTTTTCAAACTTAACGAATCTGTCAACATCCAATATTACCAATATTTACTACCATGAATTCGACAGCAATATATAGGAAAGCATTCGCGATTTGTGATCTTTAATTGATTATATAATCGCGAATAAATTTCCTACAATATTCAAAATATTCCAGATACAAACATACAACAACTGATATGTGCATTTCAGGAGTCTATCCTATACCGGAACAAAAACGACTGAGATATTATCGTATTCATCTTGGCTGAAAAACTTGTTGAAAGTTATTTGCTAGAGGAAAAAAGAAAATCTAGGCGGAATTATCGCTTTTATAATTTGAATTTTGATATAACAAAATTATGGGAATTATGATCTGCTCTTACGTATAAACTAGGATTCATTTTTCGGATCCGGGTGAAATAATATTCACGCCAATTTTTCACTTCATCGCGCTGCATATTAAAATTGACAAAATAAAGTTTAACAAATGATTTAATGAGAATATAAGTAGAATTTTCATAAAAAACTCAAAATCAAATAATAAATTACTAATATACTTTTTGTATCTAGTCTAATATGCATTCATGCTTATTAACTCTTTCTGTTATTAATTAATATTTACATTTAAAAAAGAATTGATTTTTTCTTCTTTTTTCACCGTAAGATAATGTAAACTCTGTGTATTTACAGACTTAAGACACACATTTACCCCATTTTAATATATTTTTTTTTTTTTTTTTTTTTTTAAAAAAAAAACTGTTAATGGATAAATGGCATATTTACGTTACTATCAGTCATGAGCCGAAAAAAAAGAAATCAAAACGTCGAGGAGAAATATGAATAAAAAAGGATTTGAAATCAGAGCCATAAAAAAAAAAAAAAAAATTACTTAAATATGTTGAATAATGAGAGAAACTCGGACCTCATATTTAATCAAAGAATATATCAAGAAAGCGGCTCTCAGAAGAGATATAGATCGCGATTAAACCATAGTTCCTGATAGTTTTATGTTGTAATGTCGTGGAAAACTAGCAGGTTTAACGAAGAAAGAATGCTTTGATCCCTTCACTTTCAAATCTTTAGATGACATTTTGTTCTGATTTTTATCCGATTTCAATGAATTATTGATTTTTTTTTTCAGAGGATTATTTGATTTCACTTGTACATTATGAGATATCTTGTTTCCTTCATTCCTATCATATTTAGGTTTCATACAATATTTAACAACATGTCCTCTTTGTCCACATCTGAAGCATTTGATATTGGATTTTAAATGCTTTCCCCTTGAAAAGTCTAGGAAAAGTGGTCGCAAAGTACATGGGTCCATAGGAAAGCAATAACACGTAATACCAGCCCACTAGAAAGAAACTAAAATTTGTTAAAATTATATAGAATTTGAACATTCAATAAATAATATAAACTACATTTGGTTTCTCTGAAAGTAATTGCTCATTTGCTCTCACTCCATATAAACTTCTTCTGAAAATAACACAGGCCTGAAGTACTGATACATCATCGTTATATTGCTGAAAATTCATAATTTCGATATTACAATGCTCATCGATAGTTTTAACAACATCATTCAACCACTAAATAAAAAGAACCGAGAATAAATAATTTTTTTTTTTTAAAAAAAAAAGGCAGAAGGTAAGGATTTACCAGCACTAAAAATTCTTTTGTAGATTTTCTTCCAGATATTTCAAATCCAAAAAATCTCCAACAATCGTTGAGAATCTCACCATAAATCTAATGAAATTTAAATGATAAATAATTATAAATAAGAAAAAGAATGAGAAAATATTTTACAAAGACTTACTTCAACATCTGCCTCCTCCACTTCAAATTCAAAAGAATCTGTTAAAGTAATGAAAGCCGGTTGAGTATGGTTTACGTGATAATGAGGAAGGATATTTTCATCTTCTATAATTTGTGCTAACTCCTCTTCATCAAACCATCCTCTTAATATCATCCTTCGACAAAAACTACCCTTATTATAATATGTACAACTATTTTCTAATGTATTTTGTCTTAACTTGTTGTATACTTTAACGGCTGCATAAGGTTGTTTTTCATGGATTGAACGATCATAAGCATCAGCATGCCCAAGTATTTGTACTTCTCCAAAAGTCACTTTTTTGATAGTCATTCCAAAGGTTTGAAATGAAGGAAAGAAAAAAAAAATAAAAATTCACATGCTCCTCGTCTATATATAACTGTCTATCATAATAACGTAATACTACATATTTGTGTTATATATATTAGTCGATTGACATGTTTATCTGGTTTTATAACAAAAAGACGTCGTCCAGAAAAATTTGTTAATAAATTCGTATCCGAATAAATTTTCTAGAAAGGAAAAAATAAAGAGAGCAGGAAAAAAAAAACTGTTATTTGTGTTTGTCATTATTGATATACAATATATTTAATTATAATATCTAAACTAATACTTTTTGGGAGTAGTTATTCTTTGATCCATTGAAAAACGAGTAATTATAAATATTTTTATAAATTTTTGATAAATAAAATTACAGTATTTCATCAATCAATACTATAAATATTAGAGACCAGTTGTGAGTCCGGAGCGAATATTCATAAATAAGATATTATACTGGGGGATATCGATCACCATCAAAAATCCTCGGACACATGATTTTAGGTACACGTGATTTGATTTATAGGTGCTAAGTTGAATATATTTGATAATGAAATAAACTAAATATTAATAACATAACTTTAATGCTACAAACTAACCCTAATTCCACGCAACTAATCACAAATGTTGCGCAGCCGTTGACTGCGTGACCTGCGGCTGGCTTTATAACAAACCTTCCTTTCAAAACTCTAATACTACGTTCTAACCCTAATGCCACATCTTAACTCTAATTCACGTACTAATCTTAATGCTATGCTACTAGCTGCAAATATTGCATAGCCGGACATACAGCACTTTCTTAACCCTAATTTACATTTTAATACAATTAAATTTAATTAATTAAAACAAGGTTTTTTAATAAGCAAATATTTATTTTATAAAAATTTATAATTTATTATAAATAATGAGTACTATAAATTTTATATATCGCGAATACCGTGAAAAAATAAAGATTGATATAGAAATACAGTCAGACCTCTCTAAATGCACCCCTTCGGGACCGAGTAAAAGAGTGCATTTAGAGAGGGTGTGCATTAATGG